CATCATCTATAAAGTTGTTACCATCCATGTAGACAGTCAGACCTCATAGTTTCAGCAGCAGTTGTACACGTACTTACAAGCAATGCAGTTCTTTCCCTCTCTTGAGAACTCTCTTGCATTCTTTCGTCTGTGCACCTGTCACTCAACCTGCTACAGACATAGATTAAACAAATTCAAGGGGAAACGATCCAGAGAACGTGAAATGAAATTCCTGGATCCGGCCATTTATTCACATCCGCACCAAAATTTTGTGGGTTCTTCTCTTCTGATCCATACCATATCCTTCCACAAAACAAAAATGTTACCTGGCCAGATTGACGTTACATATTTTATGTGATAAACAGGACATTTCAGCCAACATTTCCTTGAGAGAAAGATCGTAGATTGTGCATAAGCTGTAGGTCAGCATGAAAGTGTGTTCAGCACCATCAACACACCACAAGTGCATTTTTACCAAAGAAGCAGGAAATGCCAGAGAAGCAGCTGTTGACCTTATGTCATTATCAAACACTTAATGTTTCTGTCGGCATTCCATTGTTTCATTTCCCCAGTCTGTGAAGAAACTGTGAATGAATTTAGTGAGGAAGTCTTCAGAGCCAAGTGAGCTTGAGTTGTTCTATTGTATATTGAAGCTTGTTTGTCCCAGAGTTTTTGAGACATTTCCCATCCTGTATGCACCACAGCACTTTGGATGTGAAGCAGCCAAATTATAGTTTCACCTGGTGTTAGAAAGTCAGCACTGTTAATGTATTGTTAACTTGTTTATTGAACTAAGTTCCATTCAATTAAAGTCTTTGTAGCACTGAGAGGAGACTCGCCAAAGACCCACAGCGCACTGAGGTCTATTTTATTAAGGAGATCCAGAAACTAGATAAGATGGAGCGGACCGAAGAGCCAAAGATCTACGAATGGCAAGTCCTGCCATTTGGCACTACCTGCAGCCCTTGCTGTGCCATCTACGCACTGCAGTGGCACGTCCAGGACACAAATGAGTCCAACAGCCATCTCGTTGATTGTGTTGAGAAGTTGTCCACAGCACCTACTCAAAGGAGGAAGCGAAGGATCTTGTTGATGGTATGTGCCAGCTACCCCACATTGGGGGCCCTGATATACGCACATGGGCTAGCAACGTCCTGGCAGTCATTGAACATCTTCCATCCAACGTCAGATCCGGGACCAGTGAGCTATGGCTTTCCCAATCCAGCATGGACCTTCAGGAGCCAACTCTTGGGCTACAATGGGATTGCCTCCGTGACTCCCCAAAGTACAAACATAGACCAGTGGAGAAAACTGAACCCACATTGAGAAACGTCTACAAGGTACTTGCCTGTCAATATAACCTGCTAGGCTATACTGTAGCATTTACCACCAGAGCCAAGATTCTAGTTCAGGATCTTTGGAAGGAACAAATCGGCTGGGATGACCCAATCCAGCCACAGAGCCTCCGTGATAGATGGCTTGCCTGGGAACTGAAGATTCCAGACCTCATCCAGATGGAAATTCCCAGATGTTATGCACCAGCGCGTACCGACTCACCGACATCCAGCAGAGGTCTGCACATCTTCTGCGACGCTTCTGAGAGGGCTTACGGGTCTGTTGCTGACAGAAGACACTCAGAAGGAAGTTCATGTCTCCTTTGTCCTGGCCAGGACAGCATGGTCCCTTCACAGGGTGGCCAACCCAAACTCTCACTCACCCAGTGAAGCAGATGACTACATCAAAGCTGAGCATCTCCCCCTAAAAATGGCGCAGCTGGAGTCATTCCCAGAAGAGGTCAAAGCTCTCATCTCCGTTTATGACCCTAGTAACACCCTCGGGAATTGTTGATGATCCACAGCCAAGTCCTCGTCGACGACTTCTGGTCCAGATTCATCAGTTACCACCTGTACAGCCTACAGGAGAGACAGAAGTAGCAGAAAGATGGGAAATACCTCGAACCAAACCGAGTGGTGCTCATTGTGGATCCCCAGTTCCCACAAGCTTCATGGCCTGTTGGGAACGTAACAGCTACTTATCCTGGAGCTGATGGACGCATCCGGACTGCTGCCATCAAAGTCAAGGATCGGATCTACAATCGACCAGTAGCTTGTCTGGTCCAGCTCCCTAAGCTTGAAGACGCAGCTGAACATCCACCTAGCTGAGTGGCCTTTCTACCTTGGATTCGACTGTCTGTGCAGACAGTCGGGGGTGGCTGTGTTATGCTGGTTTGTTGTTAAAGCTAATAGGCTAGGTCATGCTGTCTGTGTGCCTTGTGTGAAGTGATTTGTTTATGTTATATGATCTATATGATATACTTGATTATTGAATACATTCCTCTGTAACCTTAGTTATCTCATTATGTTTGTGTATCATGTATGGTGTTTGTTATACTGATGGATACTTTGTATTGCTATTGCAGACCACAGCCAAATAAATGAACCTGAAACAGGACATCTGTATCCGTGTTCTTTAACGGGAACACCAACACTACACCTTGCCACTCTAAACCAGTAAAATTCCTGGAGACAACGCCTTCTCTCCTTTTTACCTGGTCTGAGGCTTATTCTGTGGAAAACTCTGCAGGGCATCACTAATGATATACTGATTGAAATGTCACTTCAGCCAGTAATGGAAACTATAATTGGTTCAGGTCTCAGCTGAGAATTGGAGACTCTGTGTGGTGGCCTAATGAAACTCCGTGAATATGATGTTGAGCCCATTAGATTTTCTCTATAGGCCACAGTGTTATGTTATAAAAGAGATCAGGGTGTTTGGGTGCTCTATTCAATCTTTACCTGATTGTTTTTGTTCCTTTTTTAAACGAATGAACTGGAACTGTATTTTTCTTTCTCCAAAAACTTGAGTATCCAGGATAATCACATCACAGACTGACTCGTCTGGTTCAATGAGAGAGGAAAAGGTTGCACTGTGTTCCAGTTTTGTTTTTGATCTTAACTTTAAAATGCTGATTTAGAGCTTAAGTGGATCGTGAATCTCAAATGCACATGTGTAACCAGATAGTTTGTGAGAATCATGGAAGAAAACTGTGACATCATTCATAAGCTCAGGTCACGTTCAGGAATGTTTAATGTTCAGCACAGAAACTCTCCATGAGAAGGTAACGGGTGTGCGTTTGAAAATTGAAGGAGAAATTTGAAATTATCCCAAAAATTCTGTTATAGTGGCTGTGTGTGAGTGTGTGTGTAAAAGACAAAGTAGTTTGGGAGCAACATGCTGCATATATTTGCATATAAATGTGAAATTCTTACAAATACGCTGGCATATAAATAGTCTATCATGAATTAATTTATTAGCTGAAGCAGTGAACTCATTAGCGCAGCAGCTTATGTTTAATATATAATTTACAATTATGATTTTACTTTGAGCATTTTATGTGGTGGGTCTTACGCTACGCACCAAACATGGTGCGTAGCATTTTCCTTCATTTTGTTGCTGTCTTTAATATGTGCTTTGTTGGAGTGAGCATGTGTCAGCATGTTCTTTTAGAGCTGAAATGATTAGCTGAGTAACCCAAAATTATTTTGGAAGATCACTTGTTTCAATAATTTTTCAAAATAAAACGCCAAATATTTTTATGCTGTCACCAAACTAAGAGAAAGTGAGATATTTAATTTATATTAAATTTTAGACAGCTCTGTATCTCAAAGTTGTTCAGTCTGTACTTGGTGTGTGGGTCGCTGTGTCATGTAGCTCATCAATGCTGCTGATCAGCTGCCCCAGGCACGGGGTGGCTCGATGTTGCGGAAGGACAGTGTGTCCTCTGGGATGGACAGGAGCTTATAAAAGCTGGAACCCCTGGCCTCTGCCTTCTGTTTCCTGCTAAACTGGGAATGAAGAGCAGTGAAGGCAGAGGCTAGAAAAAGAAGAAGTAGTACTTTATACGCTGGTTGAAGGTACCACAGGTGAGGCCCTGCATGGAGGGAGCTTGGTTTATGTTGTAACTACTTTTCTAAAGGGAAGGCTTTGATGGGCTCTTATGTCCCTGTAATAGAGTGAGTTGTTCTTTTGACAAGAGGCTACAACTGATGCAAAGAAGAAAATGTTATGCTCAGGAATTAAGAACATTTTTTAAATTGAATGAGAAACTTTGTGCATGTCTGTTACAGCATTGCGATCGACCATCTCTTCTATGTAGGTCACAGAATTCACCATGTGGGACATTGATCTCTGTATCTTTGGTTGTAGCACAGGAAAGCAGGTCACTGATTTCCTGTGAAACTGTGAAACTTTCAATTCCTTCTCTTCCCTTAAGCTCTAAATAGCAGCATAATTAAAACCATGGAAGGAGGACAGAGAATATTTAAGGATCACTTAAATAAGCTTTTTGACTCTGGTTGAGTGATTGAAAGCTATCAAACTTGCATCAGGCTCCAAGTAGTTTCCAGTGAGGATAACATGTAAAGGCATAAAGCAGATAGTGATTTTTTTACTGCCAAGTGGCTTTAGAGATGCATGAAGTCTCTCTGGGCATGCACACTGTGTCTCAGCATGTTTTACTTTGTATTCAAATTTTCATGAATGATTCTCTGCATTATGTAACTGCAGCTGGGGATGCTTGTCTCATCTGCTGGTGCTGACATCAGCTGCAGTGGTGCAAGTGGTGGTGGTGCCTGGAACAAGGACGAGGACGATATGAGAGGAACTAATAACATTAGGCAGTGCTGTAGTGGCAGGAGGCCAGGCTGGAGCAATAACATTATATTATAGATTGTGTAGACAACTGCCCTCAAAATGCCATTATGCATCGGTCAATCATCTCACTACTCAGCCAGGCAGTCTTTACATCTGCTCTGCATTCATACCATTTACTAAAGGAAATGGTATGTTGTGTTGTATGTCATTACTTTGCCTTTATCTAATCTTTATTTTATTGTTTTTCATCCGTCCTGCCTGAACCCATTCACTCCTCATGGCGGACTTTCTCTGGTCCTTCTCCCAACTGGCTCATCCCTTTTTTCATCACACTCTTAAACCTCTCCACATCGCGTGCTCCATTCCAGTAGAAGATTGCAGTGTACTGTCCAGTTGCAATGGAGGACAGTGACCATGAGGCACACTCTTCAGCAGACGAGCAGGACTGCCCTCCCTCCCCCAATCACAGCAGGGACCATGATGCAGAGGAGGTATTGGTGATGTCTCTGCAAACCCACAAATTATCCACTTTACCACCCATAGTCTTATTGGAGTGATTAACTCACAGCAAACATAATGTACGGTTAGGAGATCAAAATGATTTAAGAACATCTCAACTGAACTATATCTGTTGAGCCTTTCAGGTATTTTTCATCTTCTTTTACCCCTCAGTTAATGTATTGGGCCTAATCATAACATGAGTGCAGAGTCACAGTGTGGCCCTGCAGCTGCATTTTACAAGGGCTCATTGCCTTGTGACGGTCACTGCATTATTTATCTTTGTGCTCGAATGGCAGGGAGACTTTGGTGTGAGGGACTGGGAGAGCTGTTGTAACTGGAGTCTGCACAGTAGCTTACACTTCAGCTGTGTATAGTCTTACTGCAGAAGCTTTGTTTTTGAAACAGAAGATGATGAAAGAAATAAGAGATAAATACAATAACAAAAGATAAATAGAATCATAAGAAAAAAAAAAATTAATTACAGTGCCCTGGGGTGTCCGCTAGCTCACCTGATGATGTGGCCACCACAGATAGGGAGGCTTGGGACGTGCAGCGGCCGCAGGTTCAGTTCTGACCCGGCCCTTTATTGATAGACACTCTTAGTGTCCTGTCAATAAAGTCGAAACGCCTGAAAACATATATTTCAGTGTCCCTGTTTGCAATGAATGTTCAACAACTTCGATTCTCTACCACCGTCCCTTCTGCTTCCTGGATCACTTTCCCTTCCCTCTTACACCATTCTCTCTTTCTTTCCACCTGTTCCTCTGCACCACCTCATCCACTCCTTCAACCACAACGTCTCTCCAGCATTCAAGCCTTTCAGATGACTCAGAGGTAGAGAACATTATGCAAGACCCTCACCACCAAGGAGGGCACGGCCATCACCACCATGACCACCATGAGTACGAGCACCATCATCACCATCAGGCCCCTGAGAATCATGATGTTGACAGGGAAGCTGAGGGTGAAGACCGCCCCCACACCCCGTCTTCTTTGCGGCCCCCTGTGGCTGGCAGGGCACAGTCAGATTCAGGTTCAGACCCCAGCTTTCCTCAGAGCAGGAGTGTGGAGTTTGACTTGCCGTCTCCTGTCAGTCCGTCCAGGCCCAAGAGCCCCTGGGGTCGATTTGACCCATACAGCAATAATGAGGTAACATGAAGTGGGTCTGGCCATGAAACCCAGAGAGGACGATGTTGTCTTTGTGCTGTGATGTGTTGAACTTTTCATCTTCAGACTGATGATGTGACAGAGCTTGTTCGAGATTGTATATGGTAAAAAGAGGTCGATTTGTGCTTTGAGTTTGATGCTCTGAGATGGCAGCGCTGCTTTTTTCGCTCTTGTGTTGTTCTTCAGAATTCTGTTACTGTGGGAAAGTTCAGAATATGAATATTAATGAGTATATTATACTCTGGTACCGTCAGATTTTTGGAATGGTTGTTGTTTGCTTCCCTGATGTATTTTCATATCTTCGTCTCCACTTTCAGGACCAGGACAAGGAATACGTTGGTTTCGCAACGTTGCCAAACCAGGTGCATCGCAAGTCCGTCAAGAAGGGATTTGACTTCACACTCATGGTGGCAGGTAAATCCTCGTCTTCAAATTAGCAGACATTTGATCTCACACATGACTCAAATTTGAAGAGACTAGTAATCACACAGTCTTAACGTCAGTCTGTGTTGTTCTTTGTTTGAAGGGGAGTCTGGCCTGGGAAAGTCCACTCTGGTCAACAGCCTGTTTCTCACAGATCTTTACAAAGATAGGAAGCTGCTCAATGCTGAAGGTGATAAATATATGTATATACATATACATATATATATATTAATTTTTCTTTGTTTTTGAATAGATATTTGTTCTACAACATGTTGTAGCTGATATTAAAAACAATGGCCTGCTTGTGTCTGTGCTCTAGAGCGAATCACACAAACTGTAGAAATCACCAAACACACGGTGGATATAGAAGAGAAAGGTGTGAAACTGAAGCTCACCATCGTGGACACACCTGGGTTTGGAGACGCTGTAAACAACTATGAATGGTACGAATGGATCAAACTGTTTGACTTGACCTATAAATCCTTGCAGAGTACAGCTGGATAACCTTGTTTGAGCTCTTACTGTGGTTAGAAAGTCATGTGCCATCGTGCAGCTGTGGCCTCAGAGAGTGAACGACCCTGTGTGTGTTTGTGTCGTAGCTGGAAGTCGGTGGCTGACTACATCGACCAGCAGTTCGAGCAGTACTTCAGGGACGAGAGCGGCCTCAACCGCAAGAACATCCAGGACAACCGTGTGCACTGCTGCCTCTACTTCATCTCGCCCTTCGGTCATGGGTACAACAAACCTGTAGTGGTTTACCCCTCGCTCTGTTTTAATGGGGAACATCCCCCCCTTTACTGTATGAAATCTTTTGTGCTTATATCATAATCAGCCTCCACACGCAGCCACCTAACTCTATTGTAAATCTCTATTTACTTATTGTACATTCAGCTCCATAAATTGTTAATTCTCTTCTCCAGAGTTAAAGCTGTGCTCTGCTGCCTTCAGGTGAACTTAAATCTACTGCAGCACTTTAGCTCTAAGCAGTTGTTTGTGCTGAGTACTGATGTGGTGCTTTTCACATGCACTGTTCCACATTAACTGTGCTCATTAAGGAACTAATGTAACACAAAGCTGCAAGGTATGCCGCAGTGCCTTTTTCAGACACACTGATGGAGGAAAGGCTCCCTCTGCTGACAAGCTTCAGTCATTACTCATCAGATAGCACACAGTGATGAAGCTCTGGGAGCAAAACCTCTGGCCCCACTGATCAAACAACCACCACGATGAAAAAACATTGTGTTAATGGCTAAAACTTAAGGTCAAATCATTGTGTTTATACTGACAATATAGAATCAGAAATCATGTCTACAGTTCAAATCAGGCACAAAATGAACGGGACCATTGCCATTGGATGACTTCTGATAACGCAGTCCCTTGTTAATCAGCACTGATGGACATGTCTATAAAAAGTTGAAAAATATCACCTTGTGTTTAAAGAATGAAATGTACGGGACAGAATTAGGGCCAGGCAGAAAAAATATGGGAAGAGAAAGACTTGTTTCTTTCATTTTGCATTTTAAGAGTTAAAAAAAAAGAGTCAAATTAAATCAGAGAAAATGCATTTTTTCACTTTCCATATCGAGAATAAAGTAAGAATCAAGTCAAAATTTTAAAATTAAAGTAGAATTTTTAAGAATATATCAAACTACTAATGTTAATTAGTGACCTATAAATCTTCACCTTTTCATTTTCTTCTCATGCCTGATCCTAATACTCATCTGTAGAGATGTTGTAAGAGTGTTAAAGGTTTTATTTCATTTACATGCGAGAGAGAATTGTGTTTAATTTCGTTTATGGTGTATCTCTTGTAGCCTTCGACCTTTGGATGTGGAATTTATGAAAGCTCTGCATGAGAAGGTCAACATCGTGCCTGTTTTGGCCAAAGCCGACACCCTCACCCCGAGTGAGGTGAAGAAAAAGAAATTCAAGGCAAGGGAGTAAACTTGGTCTGGAGTATGTGTTTTATCCCACAGATGAAACTGAAATCACATAGCAGATATACATGCATGGTTCTTTATGAAAAAAGATTATTGAGCATGTATCGTCGCTGATGGCATCATTCGCTCTTTTGTTCCTCTGCAGATCAGAGAAGAGATTGAGCAGTACGGTATTAAGATTTACCAGTTTCCTGACTGTGACTCTGACGAAGATGAGGACTTTAAGCAGCAGGACCACGAGCTGAAGGTGAGAGTCAGCTGTCTGCGTCTTTTTCTTCCAGTTGTCTTTTCTACAGTCTGAGGTTGGTACCTCGCCAGGTGGACATGTGCACGAGTAAGTAAACAACCAAACCTGAAAACTGCTGCAGAAGAGTAGAGTGCTACTATTACACAAAGCCCCATTTGTCCCCGGACATTCAATCAAGCTGCACCAAATTTCACACACAGAGTTATTCTCTGAGAAAACATTTAAGTTTATCTCGCAATATAACTCAAAGCGGAAAAAAAATCCTGGATCTGCCCCCTGATCTGGATCTGTACCAAAACATTGTCCCTTTTATTGTCCCGAACACGAAACAGAAGATTATCCAGTTATGTAGTGTAGTGATTTGAAATCAATATGCAAACCATAGAATACACATCATAAGCTGGCTGTAAGGACACAGTTAATCTTCTGTCCTTGAGTAGCCGCTGATAAATGTATAGTGTTAAAAATGGGAAATAAAGATTAAAGAGTTGAAAAAATAGACGGGGAGGTTTAAAAGTTAAACAAATGAATGTCTAAGAGTTGTGGTTAGTTAGGAGTAAATGTAACAATGTTGGAGAGAACATGACAAAGACACTGAAGAGGAAAGTGTGGATAGATGAACCAAAACATCCATAAAATCATCTACTTCCTTCACTGATATATTGACACTGATATGTTTGAAAACACCTTTTTAATCTTCTGTCTAATGTCTGTTTTCCCCTCAAGGAAAGTATTCCCTTTGCTGTGATCGGCAGCAACACAGTGGTGGAGGCCAAAGGGAAGAGGGTGAGGGGCCGTCTGTATCCCTGGGGCATCGTAGAAGGTAGCCACACTCTCCAAGAATGTCAAAAGTTTAAGTCTGATTCCTCGTAACAGCATGAATGACAAAAAAAACAAAAACATAAAGATCATATGTATTATAATAGTTGTTTAGAGAAGCTGCATACATTTTGTATGACAGTGCTTGTGTGTGTTCATTGATCCTTTGCCTTTTAAACATTGAATATGGTGAACATGTTGTTGAAACCGAACTGCATGCTGCGATTTGCAGTGGAGAACTCGGCACACTGTGATTTTGTGAAGCTGAGGAACATGCTCGTCCGCACGCACATGCAAGATCTGAAGGACGTGACCCGGGAGACCCACTACGAGAACTACAGAGCCCAGTGCATCCAGAGCATGACCCGCATGGTGGTGAAGGAACGCAACCGCAAGTACGCTCGCACTGAAGCACAGGACACACACACACACACACACACACACACATTGCTGTTTTTAAGTATTTAATGGTTTAGGGTTCATTCTGCAGCATAATTATCCTCACAGACACATACAGATATGTGGTGTTTGTGTATTAATTAAGATTGTCAGCTGCATAATAGATGACAGTGCCCAAAGCAGATTTGAATTGTACCAATGAGTTGTGAGTGTAAGATGGTTTGGCTCCACCTGGTGACATCTGGAGTAAATGTTGTTAACTTGAAACAGGGATTCGTCTTGATACTAACATAGAAAATGAAAATGCTTCCTCTTCCAAAACCCTTCTGTTAATATTTAATGTTGAACTTCTCTACATCTTGAATCCCTCTGCAGCAAACTAACCCGGGAGAGTGGCACAGACTTCCCTCTCCCAGCGGTGTCCGGAGTGGCAGACAGCGAGACGGAAAAACTCATCCGAGAGAAAGATGAGGAGGTACGGCATGCTGACCATGACCACCTGGAGTCACATGGTCACGACCACACCTCTGAGCACTCAGACTCTCAGCCCGAGCCAGAGACACACTTACATCTCTTAAAAGACGAAGCTCTCTGAGTGTCACACCTTTGGATTAAATATAATCTTTGTGTGAAGCACACTCACGTCATGTTTTCTGAAGCTGACAATGAGCAGCTTCAGAAACATGAATAAGTGTATTTAAACATCCAAATTTCTCTTCCCCCCTGTCCTCACTCAACCCTGTTGACCTCTGAACTGTGGGTAGAAAACAACAGACATAACTACTTCTCTTTCATATGAGCTGCGCCCTCTAGTGTCAATGCCTATTCACCTACATCCAGGTGACTTCTCACTTTGAGCAACACTGACCCTGAAATCCCTTTAGTGTTGATTATGATGCTCTACGCTCATCATAAAATCAGACATTTACCCAGTGAGCAGAATCCAGCACACATCTTAATCATGAATAGAAAATAACAAAGATTTTAAACTGTTGTCCAAGTTTTACATCCGTAAATCAAACCCTACATTAAGACATGTTTCATAAGCCCACATTGAAAGGAGTCAGCTTTTCTTTTTGACTTCGGTTAATTAATTATTTTAAAATATGCTGGTTCAATACTGTCAGTATGGTGCAAACTCTTGAGGAAATTTTATTCTAATTTTAAGATAATTATTTTCAGCTCCTAGCTATTATATTTAAATAAATCAAAATACTATCAATTAATCAAATCAATACAATTTTATTTGTGTAGCCCATATTCACAAATCATAATTTATCTCATTTGGCTTGGTATGAAATATGATTTGATTATTTTTGTCTGAACAAAATCAAGATTGTAGGCACAGGGTAGAAAGAATATTATTAGAGAAGTATTTGCTTAAGTATTATTCTTTTTAGGTTTCTAAATTTAAACCTTCACACACTTTAGGAGTCCAGACACTGTGATTATGTTTCAGTGAAGGTAATTGAGCTGGCATACATCGTTTTACACGGTGTTAGTGTTCATTCATTTAAGTCCTTCCCCCTTTTTCCCATTCAATCATTATTTTGACAAATAAAGAGTTTATTTGTCCTCGGTTGTTTCTTTTTTTGTGTGTTATGAACAGTTAAATGTGGTTAAACAAAGTTAAAGTAATATCGAACTGTCTCAACATGTGTCTGAAATGAGAAAATAGTTGTCAGTTTACATCCTTTACTACACAAATGGAACCAAACTAAATCTAACAACTAAAATTCAAAAGCAGCTAATGATTGTGTTTTAGAAAGTTTTATGAAACATCATATGATAAATCTTAATCAAAGCAAAACAATTGTAAGAGATTTTGAATTGAAAAAAGTAAATAATCAAGTAAATGATACAGTTTATATGCAGCATCTGTAATATTAAATATTCAGTAGGTGAAGAGGAGCCTGTGGTTCCCTGTGTTTGACAGCAGAGGTCACGTGATCTAAACAGATCAGACTCATCTCCTGCTTGTTATCGATTTGTTGTCTGTGCAGTCATGTGTGAAGAATTAGTTTGTATAAAAGGCAGCAGAGCGTGTTGACGTGTTTAGACTGTTGACACACAATCACAATAGTGGATCCTAACTCTTGTCTCCTCTCTCCTCTCAGTTGCGGCGGATGCAGGAGATGCTGCAGAGGATCCAGGATCAGATGCACACTCAGAAAGACGCCTATTAACACAGGACACCAGTCACACCACGTACGTGTCTCTCCATCACTGGGATTAAAAAAAACAAAAAACAACAGGAAACCTTAATTCCTCTCGAGAACATTGACCACATGTCCACCCAAACACCGCTCAGCGTCATCAGGGACCTGCGAGGAGGTGGTAAGACGGTCTGACATTTGCAGCTCATCAACTCTCTTTATCCTCCACAGGGTCTGACATTAACTGCACCGCTGCTGCAAAACACTCCACCTTCCTCCACTCTGCTGTTTTCTGTCAAAAAGTATCAAATGATTATAAAATGGCCAGATCTGATGTTTGTCTGAAGGAATCAGTCTATAGTTTGAGGGTTAGTTCACGTATCTGAACTTTATTTAGCCACATGTTCGCAGGGTTCTTGTTTTACTTTATTTTTATTTTTTACATGAGGTCTTATATGAGGTTTACATCATCAAGTACTGGTGACCTGCTCAGATTTTTTTATAAGCACGCTTTTCTGGTGCAAGTGTTCATTTTTTATTATAAAGGTCAACATGCATATATATATACTGTCATAATTTAATTTTCTATAATACACCCACAGTCCTTTTTTCTACTGTTTTGCATCTTTTACTGTGCGTGTCCCTAGTTTTTCTTTAACTACACCTCACAGCACTGCTTGACATGATGTATAGATGATTGTTTTATGTAGCAGTTGATTTGGTCTAAACTTAATATGATGGTTGTTTCATTTATATTTGAAGCTTTATCAGTTTTCAGCATGGATGCTTGACATCAGCCACAACTCACATAAGAATTCATTATTCATTATTGCTTGTTGATCACCATATCTACATTTGAAATAATCCAGATTTTTAAATGACAAAGGAAGTCCTTTATTATTATTTCTATTTGGAAATATCCCCAAATCAAAGTTGTTTCAGAGTCGGTTCGTCTCATACATGTTCGACCTGTTTCATCAGATCACATGTGAGAGCTGATGACTCGCCAGTGGTCAGAGAGGATCTGGAGTTTAAAAAGACAAGACCCTTGATTTTGCATGAGCTGAGCGTCTAAGAGAGGGGTCGCACCAGAGTCCATGCAGTGTATTTATTTTTGCATGTGTTTTGTGAAGGTTACTCAGATTGCAGATCAGTGTAGTGATCACATGGTTATTTATGGGCAGAGAAAATATGTACTTTCTGAGGAAAATAGTTTTGGTTGGTTTGAATGATGTCCTCACTTCATGGGAACTTGAACGTGTGCTAACTTTAACGTTTATAACCAAAGCCAACAACGACAAACTTCATTGTCCTAAATGTTTCCTTTTCAAAGAGTGGGTTTCGTTTTATTTTGACATGAAGAATATTGTTTTGGAATAACTGGTCAAAGCCAAGAGTGACGGAACTCTGACGATTCTGCCATGTTGTGTGACCTTTGTTTTAAAAGAAAAAAAAACATTCCTTGAGCTTCTGTCCCAGAGTCAGGTATTACTTCTTTTTCTTTCTTTTTTTCTTAATTGAGTTGTTTTATATTTGACTTTTTTGTTATTCTACTCTTGGAGTATTTATGTAATAAATTTAAAAAACGAAATACATATGAAGAGGACGATATGTACAAATTCTAATATTGTAATAAAATACAAAAAAGATTTCACGTCTCTTATCTTCCAGTTTCACTTTCTTGAGGCGTCTACATCCAGAGATGAATCCATTTTTATCTGCTTATGTCGGTTTTACAAAGCCTCAACATTTACATTTGGTGAAGGAGGGATTGGAACTGACATGTTAGCAGCGTGCCCAAACTATTGCTACATTTAATGTTTCATTTATGTCTTTCTGAAGTTCATAGAATAAAGAAAATAATATTAACAGAAACAGAAAGGGAATTGTTATTGTCCGTGTACTGCAGGGAGATTTAAAAACCTTCTTCCACCATTCAAATCAACACAACGTGATTAGCTCCATATTCCTGCTGCTGTTTATATTTTGCAGTTAAGCTAAAAAAAAACTTCTGTGAAGGCGGCTGATCAGAGGCCCCGCCCCCTCAGGTGTCTAACACCTGTAGTGTGTCACTAGTGAACTAGTTAGTGGAACTCATTCCTACTAGTTGAATGATTCACTAGTGTCTTATCACCGGCTGCTGCTTTATTAACAGCAAAGCAATTAGCTTCAGTTGGAGCTAACGGCTAACTGATGACCTGTTGGCTAGCCAGCTTGAACTGGTCTTGGACGGTTTACTGAGGTCAGCGTCATTTCGCCGAGGAACAAACGGGAAGTTAATGACGCAAGAAAAACCGTGAGTCAATTCTTATCCTTCAAGTTGTGAATGTCCATCTACCATCGTCTTGTTTACACCACTGAAACGTGTTTCTTGTCACACGCGAAGCAGATAGCATGATTCCTGAAGTGCTTTAGAGAGCTAGCTTGATGTGTAGTACAGCTTCTCTTCAGAACATTTTCAAACTTTTGTGAAAGCGTTATTGTCACTGGGATGCTCCATCCATTCATTCACTTTCCCTCGTATTTCTTCTTAAAGGTCCAGTGTGTAAGATTTAGGTGAAAGGGATCTATTGGCTGAAATTGAATGTAAAACAACCCTTGAGATCACTGGTTTGTTTCATCTAAATTGTATTAATTGTAGTTTTCTTTACCCCAGAATCAGGCCTTTTTATTTAAATACTTTATATCTCTACAGAGGCCGCCGTGTTTTTTACGGTCGTCCAGACTGGACAAACCAAACAGCTTTTGAGTTTTTATGACAACTGCAGTATACCACAGGTTTTCTCATGTTTGGGAGGGTGAGCTGAGGGGGTAATCAACTGCAACATGCAACTTCACCACTAGATTAAGATTAAAACTCTTAGATATGTGTCATTTTGTAAAGTTATCAAAATGTCCCACCTGAACTACAGATTAAATTGGACATATTATGTATCTTGTATCTTTCCTCCTAAAAAGTAGACAAGAAGACAAGCCTCAGCCTCTTTGTATACAGGCTATGTTCTTAACACATGCAGCTCTTTTTTAGTGTGAACATAAACAAAATACATCCTGGGCCACACTGAAGGATGTCTTCTGCTAAATTCTATGTTTATATTCACAATGAGCTTTTAACTTTAACACTTATCAGTAAGTACGGAGACGTGTTTCAGTGAGGTGTCAGCCATAGACTGTATATTTAGGGAGTCTATACATCTGTTCACCCAGGATGGTAAATTAATAACTAATGAAGTCAACAACAGGCCTCGAGTAAATCTGATGTTGTTAATGTTGTTGTTAATCATTGACATTTCATCAGTGTGACAAACATTTAATCTACCATCACTTCTGTAAATGGAATGGACACAATTTTTGAATCCCCTTAGTAGTAGTTGTTAAAAGTATTAAATCACCATTTTATTCTGACTTTTCTTAAATGCCAAATAAAAAAACATCTTTTAATTGCTGAGATCCTGAAAGAAAATGTCTTCAGGCATTTTTAAACATAATAAATTTTATTAAGTATATTTTTAATAAATTTTTCATTTGATATTTTCCCCAGCTTTTTACATAATACAGTTAGATCTAGATGCAGCCCAACATTTACAGTCTATATACAATGTAAACTTTCTCCATAGGGAAAAGACATGTATTAATGTTGCTTCTTCCAGTACCTGAATCCCTGTAGACTTTCACACGTTTGGTTTTGCTGCAATATGGTTATAAAATGCATTTGAAATTAAAGAACTTGCTGATATCATATTGCATCAGAACAAAACATATAGAAATTTAAGGGTGAATACTTTCCAAAGTGGCCGAATGTGGTATCAGTGTGGGAGGTCTGCTCTGACATACAGCACTGTACATGGTCCCAGAAAAAAAGCTATATTATAAAATGTATACTGAACAGAAGAAGTTATGCTCTAGATGAAACAGTAAATCTTGAAATACAAAATCATTCTTAAATGTTACACTTTACATACACATGATACTTTAATAAAGTAATCACATTTTTTTATTAAAAACAAAAAAGGTATAAACTTCTGGTGAGTGCGCTGCTCAGTATCCTTTTGCCGATCAGTACATTCAGATTAAATCAGAGCACAGCGTGTTGCTGTTCAAGTGCTACGCTGAACTGTGGGGTTGCTGCTCATTGAGACAAACATTGATTTTCACAGTGCTAGCTTTGAAAAAAGGATGGTATTGAAAAAACAAGGATTGGATATATGTCAGCTGCTGAAATCACTTTGTACTGATCTCAACCCAAACGTATGAATGACAGAGCTTCAGCTCTGAGCCCAAAAAATCTTACTGCAACCACAACAATGTCCTCACTTTGCAAATAATCATTACACAAACTAAGCCATGGCATGCATCCACAGCATGCAAACACACAGTCTACACCATTTGCCCTACAAAGACAGCATAGAAACACACTTCACTATTTTATGGACCTTTTTTTTAGGTTTTCACATTCAGAATCTCTAAACACTCAACTTTGACTGTGTATTTTTTGCTGCCACGTTTAATTTTTAAATAAGCCACTGTGTGCTGGGACACTTGAATGGAGGGGTCATGAAGATATGGAAATAATTTTTAAAACAGTGGTGACAAAAAAAAACTTCATCCTAAAACCAGTTGCTTGTTTGTTTGAAGGACAAATATTAGAAATAGGTACAAGTTGATTGTCCTTTAATTCCAAAACTGCATGTTCTTTAAGTGACTACCATCAGCATATTTCATTTAGAGGAATTCTTTCCACCATTACAGGGATTGTAGTTTTAATTCACCCAAACAGCCAGCAGGTGGAGCTGTTGCTTTATGTGTGATCACTGAGGACTGCAGCTCCAGTGCACGAGATGGAGTTCTGGCCACAGTTTAGCTCCAGCCCTGCAGCATGTGCCTCTGCTGGAGAGGAGGAGCTCTCCTAAATCACATTCCCAACGTGCTGCCTATGGCTGCTCCAGCACTCTGATCTTACACAGTCACTGCTCTCAAACCTCACTCTAGCCTCTCTAGTGCATGAGCTGCTATTGGTTGATCCACAGCAGTCGAAGTGATAAGAGGGAGTCTAACCACCAACCTACAGACATTCTATCACAGGACGCTGTTATGGACACTATTCCGTATATCTTCGCTAAACGGAGGTGTTTTTGTAAAACTCATGTGAAATAGACTATAGCTTCGTCTTAATCAGTAACTAAAACTGCAGATGTGCCTTCTGTGTATTTCCACACACACACACACACACTGAACACAACGACCATCAGTCACATGCAGTCTGGTATATCCCATGTTTCAGGACACTGGTACTGAAGGGTTTGTACTTTGTTTTAGGAATGATCCTGGTTGCTTTTTAACAGCTGTAATGCTTCATGTACTGTCACTTCTCCTGCCGTCACTGTGGGCTCGTAAAGGGCCTGGTCCAAGGCCTGTGGTTGTCCCCTGTCGTGGGGGCGTCTCTGAGCACTGGTGGTCCCGTTGGCATCGCTCAGAGTATATTCACAGCGCTGATGGGGAAGGGGGGCATCACCATTGTCACAGGGTTGAGCACTGCCTGACCCACCAGCTGTGGGTGGTGGGCCACCATTTGTGTGCTCACTGCTGTCTGCTTGCCAATGATGGTGGCAGTTGGCTGGCTAGGGGTAGTGCCATTCACCTGGGGGTGGGCATGGTTTAACGTGTGGGTGATGTGACTCACCACAGCTGATTGTGTGACAGCTACCTGTTGGGGGTAGAGGGCAGGTAGATGTGGGCTCAGGTGTGCCACCGGATGCACGGTGATGTGGCCGATGGGTTGGTGGCCAGGGGCTAACTGGACAGAGGTCGTGGTTGAGGGAGCCAGGTGGGCAATGTGTTTGGGACCCCCTCCCTGGATGACATGGTTGACTGCTTGGATGACTGAGGGATGGGACACTGAAGCGTGGGCAATAACTGTGGGGTGTAGGCTGGGCGTCGTCACCATCTGTGTCTGGGTGGGGATCAGGGGTTGACTGGGGGTGGTGAGAGTGCTGGATGTCGTGGCTGTGAGTGTAGGTACAGCTACAGACTTTGGAACTGACTGTGGAAGATTCATTGGCAGCGGGTGAGGCTGAAGACGGGGTTTGTGCTGGATGGAGATGTGTTGGGTGATGAAGGAGGTAGTGGTGGTGGCGGGGGTCAGGGTTGGGGTCTGAGCAGGTGCTGAACTCTTGTGCAGCTCAGGTTTCATGGTTTGAGGCACTGTGGGTAAAGCTGCCTGTGCTCTTGGTGCAGTTTCCTCATCTAGGTCATCTTCCATGACGTCTTCACCTTCTGCAACATAAATAGGTGAGCGTATTCACTTAGTATAACCAATACTGTGATTTTTGCAACTGCATTAATAAAGAGGTTTGTCGCTCCAACTAATAAAAATTTGCTCAAGATGAACATTTATTTAAATAGTCTTAAATCATATACAGGGGGAGGACTACAGTGGCTCCTCCCTGACTATCAGCCTACCTGAGGCAGTCGAGGTCGAGGCCTGGTCCTCCTCAGGCTGAACCGTCTGTCTGAGGACACGATCGATCTCAATTACATCCATCCATTGGCTCAGGTCATTCTTCAGCTCTGCTAATCGCTGCTGCGTGGCGATCTTCTCTCTGGCCAGCCGCTCCATGTCATGCTCGTACTC